GGTTATTAATAATAATAATAATAATAATTTTTTTTTTTCCATCTCAACTATAAAAATTATTATTAATTATTGCAGATGGAGGAGAAAATCAATTGAATTCTTCTTGTGAAATAAAGCCTCATTCGACTCCAGCAACGCTTTTATGGTTGGGAAAAAATTACGAACTTGCCGAAGGGATTTGCATACCACGAAATACTTTATATTCTCATTACGTACATTTTTGTCAAACTAATTCAATGAGTCCGTTAAATTCAGCCAGTTTTGGAAAAGTAAGTGGAAAAATCATATTGATATTCGCTAACAAAAAAAAAAAAAAAAAGAAATTTCTATGGAAAAATAATGAAAAAAAATTTTTTTTTTTATTTATAATTGAGATAATACGACAAGCTTTTCCATCGTTAACAACAAGAAGATTAGGTACGAGAGGTCAATCTCAATATCATTATTGCGGTATTGCAATTAAAGATTCATCTCCTTACTACGATACTGCATTTTCTAAAATGATATTTACCTGGTAAGTCTTTATTTTATTAATTAAAATTACAATAAACATTTTTTTTTATTTTTTACGTATAGACGAAATTCGTTCTCGTCGTTAAAACGATATTAATAATAATAATAATAATTATTAGTTTTAAAACTGATTAATTATAAACATATATATTTTTTTGTTAACAACAAAGCAGCGATGGGAAAAAAACTTTGGATAAAAACGTAAGTTTTCTTTTTTTTAACCACGACGATTTTCTTTTTTTTAAATAAAAAAATTATAATAATTTTAAGGTAAAATATAAATATGGTGGGCAAAGAGGAAATGATTATGTTTACAAACATAAATATTGTTAACCTTATACAAAACCTATTTAAAATAATACCTAAAATATTTTTATTGTGTAAAACTTTTTAAAAAAATTGTTGATCGAATCGCCATTTTGATTTTTCTTTCCAATTGTTTTTACTATTTTTAAAATAAAAAAAACATTCCCAAACAATCACTCACGTTATTTCCGGTTATCACTTATTATCATCATCATCATCAACTAACTGTTTAATCCTTAAATTTTAAAAATTTAACTTAAATGTATGGTAAACAAATTTATTTTAAAAGAATTTTCCATTATTACTATTATTATTATCGTTTTTTTTTTTTTTTTTTTGATAATTTACAGAACGCAAAAATATTTTTTTCTAAAAACAAAGGAAATGTTAAAATTTGGCCTAATTTTCCAAACATAAAAGAAATTCCGATGCCTCCTCACGTATCAGAAGAAAAAGTTAGTTCGTTTATTATTATGTATCATACGCATTGTCAAAGAATATTCGATACAATCATAAGAGGAACACTTGACGATGTATGTTTATTTTTTTTTTTTTTTGTATAATTTTACGGCTGATTGTTTTAATTTAAATATATTACAAAAAACAAAAAAAAAATTATTTAGGCATATCAATTTTTGGAACATTTTTGGCAAGGTGTTCCGTCACATTTGACTGATCTTTTAGATACAAATACTGTGGTTAACATGGTAGGAGTTTGTGATTCGATACTTTACAGAACAATAAGCAGCGTTTTCATGCCAAGTGTTCTTAAGGTGAAAAATTATTTTTTTATAATAATAATAATAATAATAATAATGACAATAATCAATCATATTTGATGTGAATATTTATTTATTTTAGAAATGTTCAGATAATTTAATTCAAATGATACGAAATTTTGCTGATAAATTGGAAAATTGGATAAATTCTGCTTTGACTGATGTTCCACAAAGTTTAAAGACTGTAAAATTAAAATGTAAATAATTTTAATAACTTTTCCCCTTATTTATTCGAGTAATAATAATAATAATAATAATAAAATTCATTCTTCTTCTTCTTCTTCTTCGTCGTATGTTATTTTACAGTGGGAAAAAGATTTTGTACTACTTTAAAACGTCAAATGATTTTATATCAACTTACACACACGGCTGAAATCGTTCTGAACAATTGCGAAATGATGAATCACATTAACAAAGATTGGAAAAGAATAAATTTAGAACCAATAACAAAACAAGCATTATTATTTACAGAAGGATCAAATGATCACATTGAAACAATTCAACAAATAAATAAATGTCGGTGATTTTTTTATTTAAAAACATGACTCGTGTCATTTTCTTGGATTTTAGTTTATATTTTGTTTGTGCAGATTGGAAAAATTTTCAAGAACTTATCGGAAGACAAGCGACAATAGAAGATTTTACGGATACGATCGAAACAATAGTTCACAGATGCATCGTGGAAATGTCGGAAAAAAAACAAATACCATTAAGAAATGTTGCGAAATCATTTATTTTACTTTGGCACGTTATTGAATCATTGATATCAAGAGATATGACTATTCATTCAGCTGCATCATTTGGTAATTATTATTATTATTCATCAATTGGAAAACTAAAAAAAAAAACTTGTGGTAAACGCCATGTTGCAACTGTTTTAAAATCATTTTTTTTAATTTCAGGTTCGTTTCATTTGATACAAACAATGTTTGATGAATATATGCATTATTTAATAGAAATGCTACATTCGGAAGATATAACAAAATATTTATTAAAAAATATAACTCTTGACGTATTACCTAATTTAGATTTAAGTTGGACAGAATATAATGATAATAATTGTTACGATGTATTTAATTCGACGTCTAATTTACGTTCTTTGGCAAACGTTTCAGGTACGTGTTAAACCTGATACGTTTATCACATATTACCTTTAATTTAATTGATTATTTTTTTTAAATTTTAGATGATGGGTTTATACAAAATGATTTGCAAAATAATAGTTTTTCATTTTATCCCAGTGAAACAGTGGATTATAATACAGATAAAAATAATATTTATACAAACGATTGTTCTTTTTTACCCAATCACTGTGTGAGTTTTATTAATAGAAAAAATTATTATTATTATTATTTATGTGTAATTAATTAATTATCGACTGAAAAAAAAAAAAAAACAAACCTCGATCGTTTGTTATAATATTATATGAAATTTTTAGGAACTACCCAACGACACAACGAGTTTAAATATAAAATATAATAATTCAACAACAACATTCGCTGAAAATATAACAAATTATAAAAATTGTGAAAATAATTGCGTTGAATTTTCAGCTGGGATTTATTGTCAGGTATTACCGTTGAATTTTAAGTAGGAAAAAAAAAGAACAATAAATTTTATAAAAACAACCGCGTTTGTTTTTTTTTTTTTTTTTTAAATTTTTGTATATTTTATTATAAAATTCGAATCGATATTATATTTGCAGGAAACTTTACAGTACAACACACATAATATACAATATCAAGATGATAATTTTATGGAGGAAGCAACATTTGAATGTTTGGGATAATTTTTATATAAATATATACTCATGTATAATATTATTTATTCTAAATTTAAAAATTTCCGTCTTTCATTATATTAAAAAAATAATACGAAAAAAAGATTTAAAAATTTTTTAATTTTAGCACAAAATATTTAGAATAAAAACAAAAGTAAAAAAAAAATTTTGAACGAAGGTTATATAATAAATTAAACATAATAAAATTTTATACATTTTTTTTTTTTTTTTGTAATATAATTTTTTCATGTGATTTTGTAAGAATAAATTAAAAAAATATTAATAAGTTTTTATGTGATGTCGTTAAAATAATTTGCTTGAAAAAAAAAAAAAATTAATTTTTATAATGTAATTGTAAATGTACAAAATTTCTTTAGAAATTATTAGCTGGACAGTAAAAAAAAAATGCTTGCGTAACTGTTAATTGCGTGTAGTAAAATAATAATAATAATAATAATAAATTTTTTTTTTAAAATGAGTTTAAAAGCAAAAATTATACAAAGAAGGATTTGCTTTTAAAAAAAAATATTTTAGATGTGTTTTTTTTTTTTTTTTAATTATTATTTGTAAACTTTAAATAATAAATATTTTTGTTATAGATTTTTATTTATTTATTGACTTTTAAAATATTTTTTTTAACGATTTTAAAAAATTAAAGTTATTAAGGGATAATAAGTTATTATTTAGTATTTGATCAAAAAAAAATTCGACTGGAACTATTTAAACTACGTTTTACTCTAAGAATCTTATTTATATTAAACTATTTATTATTAAAGGAAAAAAATTAAGTTTTTAAAGTAATTATTTATTGTTAATAGGTTTTTTTTTATTAAAATATTTACTAATAAATTTAAATTCATGAATGAAGAAAAAGAAAAAGAAACATTTTTAAATATCGAAAAACCGGAAATGGATAATTTGACTATCGATGGAAATGAACATTTTTCGAACACACGTTTAAATACATCGAAAGAAGCTTTAAAATTACCCGGAGTGCTTTGCAAATGGGAGTGATTAAAGGTTAAATCATACAATGTTAACACAAACATTTATTTAAATAATAAATAAATTGAATTACGGTATATGTTAAAAAAGTTTTATTATGTAAATTTTAATTTTTTTCATTTTTTAAAATGAGTGAGCATCGTAGTGAAATTATATAGCATGAGCAATAGTGAAATATAACTTAAAGAGGGCGGCCATTTTTAAAAATCAATTCATGAAGTGAATGATTTCGTGTAGCCCTACCCTTAAATTTACAATTTTAGTTTTTTTTTTTGAACTTCAATACATATTTCCTGTCGAAGTAATAATTTTTTTATGTTTTTAAACTTTTAATCTCAATAGTTTATGTCAATTTCATGCCTTTGACGTGTGGCGTAGATAAGTCAGCCTCTACCGTGCCTCCTAGTGTATTGTGACTGGTAAAAGTATTGTTTTTAAAAAAACTTTAAACTTAGAGTGCCTTAGCAAAAAAGTTTTTTTTTATTTATATCAAATTTGGACAGTGTAAAAAAAGAAACGATTATCGGTATTTACAAATTCTCAATTAAATAATGTTGATTTGGCTTTATTATAAGCCTCAGTAGTACTGGTCTATTGGATGGTGTTTATTTCAATTTTCTTCAAACACAAACTATGCAATTGAATTTTCCTAAATTTGTATTTTCCATTCAACTATGACTTCAAACCGATTGGTGGACACATGTTTGTAAGTTGAAATATTAATATTTTTATTAAGTATTTTTTTCAATTTTGTTGAGGTGACACGAAATGCTCTATTTCACAAATCCATCAAATTTACTGTTTATCATTGTTTTAAATCATTCGTTATGAATAATACCTTAAGTGTTATTTATAATAAAACTATATATTTAGAATAATCATTACTTTTTGAAAATTCAAGTTAAAAAAAAGAACAATTAGGGCACTGCTTCATATTGAAAAAAAAAAATTTCAGTGTTGGAATCAAAAGCATTTATTAAATATCGCTTATGAAAATTGACATTTCAGATTCTAAAGTCAATTTTTTTTTATTAGTTGTCTATTATTAGTAGCTTGATTAGTATTTTTAAATAATTTTAAATAAAAGTTTTGTAATCGTTTTCAAATCATCTCGAATTCTCTGAACCGAATAACAAATTATTATATAAAAATTTCAAAATGGTTGAAATGAATGACTTGTCTCACGACAATTACATTTGCTGTGGTGTTTCATTTTTACTCATGTTTTTCCCCCTTACTGGAATAGATCCAAAAAGTTGAGCTTTCTTTTAATTAATTCTTTAAGATTTTATTCAACCCCAAGATGGCATTTTTTTTTTTTTTTTTTTTTCAATCAATAGTTATAAATAAAAGAGAGGTGTAGTTCAAAAATTTTTATTTAGTGACTTTTACTACACCAACTTACCAGTATCAAAGTTAAAATAAAATTAAATTAAAATTTTATTGTCGTGCAACATGTGAGCACTCAAAAAAAAATTATAAAAAGTGACGAGTAGGTGTTAAAATAATAATAATAATAATAATGACATGTATGTGTTTTTATTAAAAAGAAGGAAAAAAATTGCAATTTAAATTTTGTTATACTACCGAAAAGGTTGCCCTTTTAATTTTTTTTTTTTTTTTTACTTTTATGTAAAATCTTAAACAAGAGAGTACTTTTACACAAGTTGTAAACTTTTAAACAAAGTTTTTTCATTTAATATTGATCTACTTAATTTATTATTAAGGTTTTTTTTATATTAATAGCATCTGAAAAATTTATACACTAACCCAAATTAATTTGCATTTTAAAATTAAATTTATTAATCGAATGTTATGACTCTAATAAAAATATGCTTTCACTACTTATTAAAATAACTAATAAAATTATTATTATTATTATTTTTTTGTTGGTACTATATTAATGGTTGGTACTCATATATTAACAATGCTTTGCTTTTTATTATTTTTTTCTTATTGCTTTGCTTTTGGGGATCAGATTGGTGAACAGGAGAGTGGAGCAAAGGCAGGAGCATAGTATTACTCATACTGAGGTTACTCAGAGGTAGGCAATCACAAATATTTATTGATTAATAAAAAAAATTTTTTTTTTTTTTAGGAATATATATATATATATATATATATTTAAAAAAAAAAAATTATAAAAACAATTTTAAAAGAAAAAAGTGCGTGTTGCGATTATTTAATCATCATCATTCGATTAAATGAATTTACAATAAGAAATTTTTTTTTTTTTTTTTTTTGTGCTCAAATTTAAATTGAATTTTTTTTTTAAATTCAAAGGAATTCACCGAAAGGTTGATTTTAAATGATACAGATCGTGATGGGAAAGTTTTTTCTTTTTCCTTTTTTCCTTTTTTTCTTCTTTTTCTTCTTTTTCTTTTTTCTTTTTCTTCTTCTTTTTCTTCTTCTTCAAAGTAAAAAAAAAAAATTTACTTTTAAATTCTGGTTTTAACTGCTGACAAAATGTTTCTTCCTCTTCCTTTTTTTTTTTTTTTTTTTTTTTTTTTTAATTTAATTTTCTTCGATACGTCTGGAACTTTTCTTTTTTTTTTTTTTTTCTCACTCCCTTTGAGAGAACATTTAAAAACTTTTTTTTAAAGTTAATTTAAAAAAAAAATTTTTTTTTTTTTTTTTTTTTAGGGATTATTAAAAAGAATGATAAATTTGTTAATAATTAATAATTTCTTATTGGGTATATTTAATTTATTATTATTGCATTATTTTAACTGTATCAGTACAAAATGGAGCGTTTGAAAAAAAAAAAAAAAAAAAAAAAAAATTAGGTAAATTTTAATGTCGTAATTAGGTCTAATAAGAATTTATTTCGTAACCTAATCACCCTTAAAAAAAAAAATTACATAAAATTTTCAGTAAAGTTAATTAAAAAAAAAAAACCAGGGCAGATTAAAAAAAAAAAAAAAAATTAAATACTGACCTTGGTGGGACAGTAGCAACGTGACGATCGAGTTTATTTTTTTTTAAGTAGCATGTAATACAAAAGAAAAAATCGTTAAGAAAATTTAAATACGTTTCACACACACTCACATGCACGAAAAACGTTCTCGCACCCATCATCACACGTGCAATCATACGTTGAGGTGCATGTGCACACACGTACGCACGCACACACACACAATCACATCTTCAGTTTAGCAGCTTTAATTAAAAAAAAAAAAAAAAATAAAAGATTGTGTCTGTCCGAATAGGTCGGTCGTGCATCGGTATTATTATTATTATTATTATTATTTAACAGAATAAAAATTCAAATTGGGCGTTTTCCTTTTAACATTTAATTGAATGTTCATCCGGTGTTAATGGACGAAATAATTCGATTTGGGGGGGAGGTGATGAAAAGAAAAAAAAAAAAAAATTTTTTTTAGTGACATTTTTTCGGTCATTGATCACGTTCTAATTCACACGTGTGTGTGTGTGTGTGTGTGTACGTACTTTGTAGATAATAATAATATTTGTGACTGGGAAAAAAATAAGTGTAAAAAGGTGTTGGGAGTCAATCAGTCAATCATCATCATATTATTATTATTTGTTTTTTTTTTTTTTTTGTAGACGAGTATCGCAAGACAAAGGATCCGAAATGCCACAATACGCGTGAGTATAAAAAATTAACATAATTTTCTTTTTTATTCTCTATATATTTTTCTTTTTTAATATTTTACTTTCAAAAAAAAAAAAAAAAATGGAAAAATGCTTTCTTTTTTCACTTCCGGCATTTTTGGTTGTCTATCAAAATCGTAATCAAAAAAAAAGATCATTTTTTTTAACAATCGGTAACAGTAGCCGTTTATGAGTAAACCGGAAAAAATGAATGCGCAATTTAATTTAATTTATTTATTTATTTATTTTTTTTTTGTTCAACGCCATTTTGGTTGCTTGTTGGTAATGGATACTACAACCGTGATAATAATAATAAAAAAAAAAAGAAAGAAAATTTGTCATGGGTATTGGGTAGGTAGGTTACAGAAAAAAAACTTTAAAACCGTGTTTTATTTCGCTTTAAGACCTTAAGAGTATTTTCGCTTTTTTAACTCTTTTTGCTTTGTTGTTGTTTTTATTATAGGTTGATTTTAATAATTATTAAAAAAGTGTTGGGGGTTCAATGGCATAAAATTTAATCATCATCATCATTGTAACTAACAAACATAAATAAATACAATGTAAATTCGGTAATAATCCGAAAATGATTTGAAGTTTTAATTTAAAATACGTATTCGATTGAGTTTTTTATTTATTTTCGAATTCACGAAATTTATGGATTTACATTGATAGAAAGAAAGAAAGACTTCATTCCAAAAGCAATAATTATATAAATCGAGTCAATTATTTTATTTAGAAAAAAAAAAATAAATAAATAAATAATAATTTGTTTTTTTTTTTTTTTTTTTTTTTTAATACGAAAAAAAAGTGATATGGAACAACCCAGTTCATATCCTGTGGAAATGCCTTTCCACGGCCATGGACTTGCGCATTCACATCCACCTAACGGTCACCCAGATAATTCTCCAGCATCTTCACATTTATCTTTAGCTGGTGAGGCTCCTCAGGTTGTCCGCTCTCAAAAACAACAAACGACTCAACAGGTAAAAAAAAAAAATTTCACGGACGCGCGCACTCCTTAAGAACTTTAATTAGAAATACACAACGATTAACCTTTGGGACCCACAGGTTACGACGGTGACTAAAGTTTTAAGAGAAGTACACAGAGTGGATGCAGATCAAGGATTGTATTCGGATGCTCCTCCCGTTCCCGGGGGACAGTATCAAGATATCCCATACGGTGAATACGATCGTTTAGGGGCTCAAGAATATCCAAATGTCGAATCGTATCGACCCAGTCCAGGTGGCGTATATATATAATAAGGATGCTCTAATAAGTATATAAGACACGTCGCAGTAATTTTTAACACTCATTTATCAGGTTATCAAGAATACGAACATTATCCTGGTCAAAACGCTTATCCATATCCGCCTAATCCGAGTTACAATTATCCCGAACATGCGGCAGCAACACCTAGTCCAAGCGAATCTCCTCCACAGCAGCCATTACCACCTCACGATTATTTAAGAAAACCGAGCGGATATCCGGGAGGATACGACGAATTCGATGCCAGTATTATTCCACATGCAGATCATTACAGGATAACTCCGTCACCGGGAGTACCCGTACCCCATGAAATTTACGGTAAAGTCTTTTAAGTACTTTTTTTTAAAAATTAAAATTTTTTTTCCTGGTATAAAAATAATTCTCCATACTTACTTTTTGCGTTGGTTCTTTTTACTGTCAACAATACAAAACAATTAGCTAACAAATATATCATCGTTTTCGATGTATACTTTCACCGAGTAAAATTTATAAATGAGTAGTATTACGTCACGGTAAAATACCGATTTCTATCGAGTAGTATTCAGTACAGCCGAAACGTTCGAAACGGCAAAAAAAAAGAAGTGGGGGAAACAGTTACATTTAATTTTTCACGATGTTGCTCTAATTTTTTTCGCTAATGGATTACTAACGATTGAAAGCGAAAAAGGCAGTATTCGTTACTTAGAATTATAGTGATTGATTGATTGATTGATTATGTTTGCTATTATTGATCATGTTTATTCGTAATAATGTGATAAGAGAAAATTATTTATCCGATAATTAGACATTTTGTTATATTTAAAGTTTTTTTTTTTTTGAGTTAAATTTTCACCTCAAGTTAAAGTGAACAAAAATAAAATAAAAAATGTTGTTGACAGAAAGGAAAAATAATTACAATAATATTAATAATAATACTGTTCTGTACAATACCAAGGGAAAAAAGGGTTATAATAATAATAATAATTATAAAATTATTATAAAAGGTAATTTTAAAACTTTTTTTTTTTTTATATTTTTAATTAAAAAAATTTTTAAAAAAAAAAAAAATTGAATTGAAAAATATATTGATTAGGAGAAAAAAAGGGGGAGAAAGTTGTTCCAAAATGTTTTGCTTATTAGTTTAATTGTACATTTTTTAGTAATTATTATTATTATTTTAGAATTGCGTGTTTAATATTAACCATTATTATTATTATTATTATCGTCGTCGTCGTCGTCGTTATCATCATCATTATATTAAATAAGGAAAGAAAAAAAAAAAGTTTTGAAACCTGACATTAATGTTTGTGAAAATGGCACCCGGGGTAAAAAAAAAAAAAATGTTTATTTTTTTCAATTAATTTATTATTATTATTATTATTATTATTATTATTATTTGTTCATTTTAATTTACATTAAAATTTTTGTACGTTTGAATTACATAAGTTAATTTTCTATTTAAAAATTTAAAAAAAAGAAATTTAGTAGTTGTTATTTATTATTATTATTATTTTTTTTTTCCCGTCGAATGTTTTTAATGTACCTCCTCACGAGGAGGAGGAGGAGGAGGAGGAGGAAAGAAAAAATCACGAACGTGACGCATCTGTGTGAGTGAGTGCGTGCGTGTGCGTGTGCGTAGTAAAGAATTGTTAGGAGAGTCACATTCATCATAAACATCGTCATTATTATCATTATTATCGTGGTCGTTCATTGAGGGGCCTGAGATTTAAGTTATGAAATTTATTTATTATTATTATTATTATTATTATTTATATGTTAATGTGAATTTTATTTTTTTTTCTTTTTCAATTTTAATTGTATTCTGCTTTTTACGTATTTAATAATGACAATGAAATAAATGTTTGTTACATCGATGACGACGACAGTGGTGATGATAATAATAATAATATTTTTAATGAAATTTTACTTTTATAAACCCTTACGTGAATAATTATTATTATTATTATTTTTTAAAATAAATGTTGACCGTTTTAAATATCAAATAACCTTCACCTAAATGTTTTTAAATTTAAAAATACTAATATTTCGCCATTTTTTTTTTCATATTCAAAATAGAAATTTTTTTTTGTTTATTTGTTATGTTCACCTTATAATAAAATATACATTAATGGAATTCGATTTCAGATCCCATGACAAATACTTGGAATATGACCGGAGATCCTAATCAAATTCCAACCGGTGAGAATAAATATTTATTATATAAATTTTAAAATTTGGTTCGCCATTTGTTTTTTTCCCTTTAGATTTCGGTTTCGATTGTTTTAGTTATTTTTTTAAAAAAAATTTAATTTTTTTAATATTTCTCCAGGAGAATCCGGTGGAAAACAATACGGTTACGCTCCATCGACTTACGGGCCGACCTACGGCGCAAACGGTGGCGAATCTCGCGCCTTCGAAGAACGAGTTTCTTTTCCTCTCATGGCACCGACAGCAGATGACAAACATCATTTAAGATGGAGAGATCCGAATTTAGCCGAAGTCATCGGATTCCTATCGAATTCGAACAATGTTATCAAAGCGAATGCTGCCGCCTATTTGCAACACCTTTGCTACATGGACGATCCCAACAAGCAAAAAACTCGCTCTCTGGGAGGGATACAACCTCTCGTTAAATTATTATCAATGAAAGTCCGGACGTGTGCAGAAACGCATGCGGAGCTCTCAGGTAATTTTTTTAATTTATTTTAAAAAAAAAAAAAGAGAGAAAGAAAAATGGGAAAATGGTATTATTTTTCAAATTTAATGGAATGTTGTGCAGTGTGCAGCATTTCAAAGTTTACTTTTACAATCACTTGAATATCACGAGAAAGTTACGTAAGGTAGTATAGTTTTGCTTCCTGCCTTAAATTACTTTTATTTTATGCAACGAACTGTTTCCCCGAGTTTGTTGTTATTTCCCTCCCTCCCTCCCCCCTCTCTCTTTTGCACAATGTCATTAGGAATTGTATAAATCGTGGCACTAAACAAATGCGTTGCGTGGGATCATATTTTTCCCCCCCCCCCTTCGTTTCACATTATTTGAAAATAATTATCGAATAAAAAATTTGAAACGGTCAAACGCCGCGATTTCACTCCCCACCCAATCTCGTTTTTTCCATTGAATAAATAATAAATTCCATTGTTTCATTTCAATTTCCATTGTTTCATTTTTTTTTTTTTTTAGAAATTTATCCTACGGACGTCAAAATGACGAAAACAAAAGAGTCATTAAAAACGCCGGAGGTATCCCTGCCTTAATTGGCCTCCTTCGTAAAACAAACGATGCCGAAGTTAAAGAATTGGTAACTGGCGTACTTTGGAACCTTTCTTCATGCGAGGTAAAAAAATTTTTTTTTTTTTTTTTTCTGTTTGCGGTTTTACAGTTGACGTGAGTTAAAAAATTATTATTATTATTATTTTTTTTTTTTTTATAGGATTTAAAAAGGTCGATAATTGATGACGGTTTAACCGTAATAGTTAATCATATTATAATTCCACATTCCGGATGGGATCCGACGTCTCCTGGTGACACGTGTTGGTCCACCATGTTTCGAAACGCTTCTGGCGTTTTAAGGTACGAGTGTGATTTACTTTTTTCACGTTAAATGCGTTAATAATTATTCTTATTACGTAAATTTTTTTTTTTTTTTTTTTTTTACGGTAGGAACGTAAGTTCTGCTGGTGAATATGCCAGAAGAAAATTAAGAGAATGCGAAGGTTTGGTCGATTCTCTCATGTACGTAATGAGATGCGCGATCGAAAAATCCAACATAGGAAACAAAAGTATGGAAAATTGTGTGTGCATATTGAGAAACTTATCGTACAGGTGTCAAGAGGTTGAAGATGAAAATTACGACAAGCAACCGTTTCCGGCACAACAAGCGACAAAGCAACCTGCTCAGCAGAAAGGTAAAACGATATTTAAAAACAAAAACAAAAAATTCTGGGATTTGATTCGTTCGTCGAATGAAAAAAAAAAAAAAAAAAAAAAAAAAAAATTCAAAAAGTCTTGAGATGATCAAGTTCGATATATTTTTCGTGGGAATCCAATATTTTAGAGGGATATTGATAGTTATCTCTTTTTTTAAATGCGTTCAGGACTTCATTGCAATGATTTCTTGGTAGGTGAAAATCTTGGATGTTTTGGAGCGAGCAAGAAAAAGAAAGAAAACAGCGTGACCGGAAGCGGTTCAGCCGGAGTGCCAGATTCAAAGCAAGTTTCGAGAACGCAAAGGGGTAGCGAAGCCGTCAAGGGAATGGATCTCATATGGCAACCCGAGGTTGATGAATGTTAACCGTTTTGTTGATGTATCATCTTGATCTGTTAGTGCCACGCGTTCGATTCTTATTGATTTTTCTTTTCCTTTTTAGGTTGTTCAATCGTATTTACAATTGCTTCAAAGTTGTTCGAATCCAGAAACTTTGGAAGCGGCCGCAGGAGCTTTGCAAAATTTAGCTGCGTGCTATTGGCAACCCTCAATCGAAATCAGAGCTGCCGTACGGAAGGAAAAAGGTCTTCCCATTCTCGTAGAATTATTACGAATGGAAGTGGATCGAGTGGTTTGTGCCGTGGCGACAGCACTTAGAAATTTAGCCATCGATCAACGCAATAAAGAACTAATAGGTAATTAAAATTATTTTATGTTCGCATCGTACATTTTTTCATTTTCTTCTATTATTATCTTCTTTTTTTTTTTTTTTTTTTTTTGTTGGTAAAAATGTTAATGCGGTACATTACCTCATTTCACCTGTTTAACTTATGCTCGTTAAATTTCAATAGGCTTCGCTTTTAATTTTCTAGAAGCTGTTTGTTTCCTTGAAAAAATATTTTTCCTAAAACAACAAAACGCATGCTGTACCTAAATATGTATTCCTGAATGACGTTATATCCTAAAGGTATGGATGGGTACTCTAATCGCTGTAAATATTTAAAAGGGGAATTTATTATTGACTCTGATGGTATTTTTTCCTTCAGGAAAATATGCAATGAGAGATTTGGTTCAAAAGTTGCCATCTGGAAGTCCTCAACACGATCAAGGAACTTCCGACGACACGATAGCAGCCGTTTTAGCAACGCTCAATGAAGTTATTAAGAAAAATGCAGAATTTTCAAGGTCTTTGCTCGAAGTCGGAGGGGTTGAAAGGTTAATGTCAATTACTAGGCAAAGACAAAAATACACGGCAAGAGTCGTTAAGTTTGCAGGTCAAGTTTTATTCACAATGTGGCAACATGCGGAATTAAGGGAAGTTTATAAGAAACACGGATGGAAAGAAGCTGATTTTGTTTCTAAAACAGGTTCGAACATGTTCCAATCGAACACGAAAATTTTTTTTTTTTTTGGTTTTTAATTTTTCTCCCTTTGTTTTTTTTTATGCAGTGGCAGCGAGGAATGCTGGCCCTAATTCGCCGAACAATGTAAATAGTACATTAAATAGGCCTATGGCAAGTCAAGGCGGTACGAGATACGAAGATCGAACCATGACAAGACCTCACGCCGGACCCTCAGGTTACAGAGGGGCGAGGGTACGCACGCGGTTTCTCAAATGAGACAAACATCGCAAAAGTTTAATTTAATTGAATTTTATTCAAAACTTTCTTTTTTTTGTTTATCAGGGGGAAGGTGACGAGCTTGCTATGGGTGCTATGAGCGAAGGTGAAATCGTACCTCCAACCGGAGGAGTTAGGATATTTCCTCCAGGTCCCGCCACGGTAATATCATTAAAAAAAAATTTTCCCTTATTTACCCTAAAACGACGTTTCTAATTTCCAAAACAAATTTCAGCATGCGAAACCTGGAGAGCCTCTGTATGCTCAAGTAAATCGTGAAAAGAAAAAAAATCGTCAATACGAGGGGGGAGGAGTTGAAGGTTTACCGGTAGGAACACCACAATATGAAGGCGAACACTGGCAGTACGATGAAAGAAGGCCTGCCGGAGACGCCCGTCCACCTGCCGGAGGAGATTCATGGGTTTAGAGATATATTTTACTATTAGACTTATTATGTGTTTACTTTTTTCAATTCATTTTTCTTTAATTTCCTCCTTCCCCCCCCCTCCCCCTCCTTTTTTCTTTTTTTTTAATTATTATTATTATTATTATTATTAATGAAAAACAAAGACATTAAATTATTATATCCAAAATTTTGTGGAATGTGATGATGATGACGATGATAATGTTAAGTGAATCAAATTTGATATTATAAAACGGAAATGGAAATTAATTTATAGTCATTTACTTCCGTTATTGTGAAAATAATAATAATAATAATAATATTAAAATAATTTATTATTGAAACATTCAAAAAAATAAAAATTTTTGTGAGAGTTTTTCAAACAAATTAAAAAAAGAAAAATAATTATCATCATCATTATTATTATGAATGTATTTATTATTTATAATGAAATTCGAAAAGGAAAAAAAAGTTTTGTGATTGCTTTTCATAATAGTGATAATGATGATGATGATGATGATAATTTACTAAGTAAAGCAAATTTCACACGAAAAAAATAAAAAAAGTAAAAAATGAAGTAAATTATGTAATGTAAAAAATGAAAATTGATAAATAAATAAATAAATAATTAATAAAGTGACTGAAATAATAATAATTTGAAGCAAGTAAACGAATTTATTAAAAACATTTTTTTTTTATTTTTAATTTTTAATAAATTAAATAAAGAAAATAAAAGAAAAAAAAAAGTAGGGAAAAAAAAAGTAAAAATTATGACGTTTAATACTCGTTTTAATACAAAATATAGAAATTTTAATATCAGATGTTTTTGTAGATTTAAAAATAATAAAAATAAATAATTTTTTTTTATTTATTTATGTATTGATTTTATCGTATATTTTATACATGACGAATCATAACTTATTCTTTTTTTATTTTTTATTTTAATAAAGTCACAAATTTATTAAATAAACAATATAATAATAATAATATGATTGTTGTGTCGAGTAGGATTGAATATTAAAAATGATGATGAGTATGAAATTTGCTTATTTTTATTATTATTATTATTATTATTATTATTTTAATTAACAAAAAGTTTTTTTTTTTTTTTATTTATTTTTTTTTACTTTTTTATATATAAAAATTTTTTTTTACTTTCTTTCGTTTTATGTAATTTTTCAACAAAAAAAAATTAAATTAAATTAAATTAAATAATTAAAATGAAATCAATCAGTCAATCAATCAATCAATCAATCCGCATTTAAAGGAAATTTTTTTTTTTTTTTTATCAGTGACATAAATTATATTATTTTTGCTTTTATTATTATTATTATTATTAAATGGCTGTTATTTAATTCAAGACTGTTTCTTTTCTTTTTTCGCTATGTTTTTATTGATTTTCTCATACGATTTTCCGATTTTTTTTATATAATTTATTATTATTATTATTATTATTATTATTTAAGAAGGGAATCGAATAAAATTTTTATTTACTTATGATAGATAGACAAAAAGAAAAAGAAAAGCTTTAAAAATGGCGGCTTATAAAATAATGATCGGATCTAAACATTCGTTACATATATATGCATATGTAAATGTATACATAAAAAAATTATTATTATTATTATTATTATTATTATTATTATTATTATTAAATGATGGGTATATATGTATGGTAGGATGTGGTAAGGAATGATTGATTATATTGTTCGTTTTATATGTTTTAATATAAAATGCAAGCAAACAATTTTTTTTTTTTTTTTGCGCACTTATTTTACATAACAAAAAATTTTATTATACATATATATATTTACGGTTATTATTATTATTATTATTACTTTTTCTCAACATCTTTTCATTTCATTTATTATTATTATTATTATTATTTTATTTTATTCGACAGTTAAAAAAAAAAAAAAAATTTAGGTCACGTTGTGATTTTTTTTTTTTTTGATGACCTTTTGATTTGAGAACTTTACTACTACTACTACTCCTATTATTATTATTATTATTATTATTATTATTGATAATAAATAATTATTTATGTATGTATTGTCGGATTAATTAAATTAAATTAAATTTTTTTATTTTATTTTTTTGTTTTGTATTTTTTAAGATCAAATTTGAAACGCGTTACAATTTTTTTAAATTTAAATTTAAATTTCAAATTCAATTTAAATTAACTTTAACGAAACGAAGTACTTATTAATAACTTATTAATTTCGAGAGGGAGGAGTGGAGGGGGAGGAGGAGAGGTGACGAGAGGGGCGGAGAAATAAAATAAAATAAAAATAAACGGAAACGGTTAACTACTTTTAGTTTTTTTTTTCACTTCATTATTTGCTATTAAAAAAAAAAATTATCATTATTATTATTATATAAAATTTGCTACGGTTCAAGTTTCATCACGTTGTATCAAATTTTTTTTTTTTTGTTGTTGTTTTTAAACAACAAAAGTGTTGTTATCAAAATTATCAGTTATTTAAAATAAATTAATTTTTTTATTAAATTTTTTTTTTTTATTATTATTATACGTGATCATTTTTTTTATAAATAAATAAATTTTTTGTTAATATCTATATAAATAAAAAGAAAATTTATTAATTGCTATATTATTATTATTATTATTATTATTATAAATGAGGATAAAATGGAAAAAATGATTATGTGGCCAAAAAACATGTTTTTATCTCATCATTCGACAAACTACTGGATTCTTCGTTTCAGTTTCGTTTAATGTTTGAATCGTGTAAGATTTATTTTTATCATTATTATTATTATCATGTAAATTGACATATATATATATATATAAATTTGATGTATTTTTATTATTATTATTATTATTATTTACAAAAAAATTTTTTTATTATTATTTATTATTTATTAAATTATAAATCTTTGGAGTGATAAAAGGAAAAATCTTGTCATCGAGTGAATATTGGAAAAAAAAAAATTATTATTATTATTATTGTCAAAATGTTTTGTTATAAATTATTTGTTAAAAATTCATTTGTAAATTCGCCTAAATTGAAAGATAAAACGGTTAAATTAATAAGTTATAAACACATCGGTGGTAACACGCCATTAATATATAAAACCGTTGGAGATGTTTTGGATAAAACGGCTGAAAAATATGGGGATAGAACGGCCATAGTTTCATGTTATCAAAATAAAAGAATCACTTATCAAGAAGTTAAAGAACAGGTAACTAAAAAAAAAAAATAAAAATTTTAATTATTTTTTACACGAAAACCGGTTGTTGTTGTTGTTGTTGTTGTTGTAAATAGTAATTATTATTATTATTATTTAACCTTGAAAATGTTTCTTTAAATGTCTCTTAAAATTATTTTCAAATTTCAATGTTTACATTAATTTATTTTTAAATTGAAATTTGATTGTGTTATCATTCGTCGATTAATTATAAATTTAATTTTTTTTTTTGGTGGTTTCAGGCTGAAGCATTTGCATGTGGTCTTTTAGAAACAGGTGTCGTACCTGGTGACAGAGTTGGAATTTGGTCTCAAAATTCAGCCGAATGGTATATAATTTCATTTGCGTGTGCAAAAGCTGGATTTATATCGGTAAAAAGGAAAATCATCGACCCTTTGTTTATTTTATAATGACAACGATAAGATAATAATAATATTGATTTGTTTTTTTACCTTTTTATGTAAAAAAAATAAAAATAAAAATATTTTCAGGTATATTTAAATCCGGCATACAGATCCGAAGAATTAAAACATTGTTTGAGAGCTGTCGGTGTTAAAGTTTTAATCGCTGCGGATTCATTTAAAAATTTAAATTATTTTGATATTTTACGTAAAATTGATTCCAATTTTTTAAACGGAGAAGCTGGACAATTAAAAAGTGACGTTTTACCCGAATTAAAATCCATCGTTAATATATCGGATTCGAGTATCTCGTAGGTACAAACGTTTGTTAAACGTTTTGCTATTACTTTTTTTTTTTTTTTACGCACCTCCCCTCCCCCCCCACGCACACGCACGCACACGCACACGGGTATACATATAAATAAGAAAAAATTTCTATTATTTTTTTTTTACAGGTCTTTTTATTCATTTAACGATATCGTAAAAAAATGCACGGGAAATGCAAAGGATGAATTAAGGAAAATATCAAAATCATTGGGACCCGAAGAACCTGTCAATATACAATTCACATCGGTACGTTTTACACTTATTATTATTATTATTATTATTAGGGATTCGTCGATTTATCACTTTAATATTTTTTTTTTTTTAGGGTACGACAGGTTCACCCAAAGGAGCTGTCCTTTCTCATTTTAACATCGTTAATAATTCTTATTGTATATCGAGGAGACAAGAATTTCATGAAAAAGTACTGCAGGAATACTCTAACTTTATTATTATTATTATTATTATTACGGATAAATTAATTGTTTTTTTTTTCCACAGCATCACATCGTTTGTTTTATGGGTCCTTTATTTCACGCATTGGGTAGTGTCGTTGCCATGTTGGGTTGCGTTCACGAAGGATTAACATTAGTCATACCTACAACTGCATTTAGTCCCACGAAAGCCGTAGAAGTTAGTTTTTTTTTAATTATTATAATATCGGAGGAATGATATTTATGTGACATTATTATTATTATTATTATTATTATTTCAGGCAATCGTACAAGAAAAATGTACTGTTTTAGTAGGAACGCCAACGATGTTTATAGACGTGGTGAAAATAGTAAAACAAAAAGAATTAAAAATAGATACGGTTGAATTAGCCATATCCGGTGGAGCATATACGTCAACGGTTCTTTTTTCGGATATGATAGAATATTTTAAAGTTAAAAGAGTTTCGGTTTGTTTTTGTTTATTTATTTATTATTATTATTATTAATTATTTTATTTATGTAAATAAGTACTCATACCTTTTTTTTTTTAAAAGTCTGTTTACGGTTTAACCGAAACGGGACCTGTATCGTTTATGTCACAAGTAAACGACGATAGAGAAAAACAATTAACGACCGTCGGATGTTTAATGGAACACGTCGAAGCTAAAGTTGTCGATGACAATGGTAAAACGTTGCCCTGGAACACTCCTGGAGAATTATGGGTAAGAGGATATAACATTATGAAAGGATACTGGAGTTTAAAAGAAAAAACTAAGGAAACGATAACGCCCGAAAGATGGTTGAAAACAGGGTAACAAAATTTGTCATTATTATTATAATTATTTTGGTTTTTTTTTAAACTTCTGCTGCCACGTCGTCGTCGTATTATAACTTATATTTTTGTTTTTATCAGTGATCAATTTGTTTTATTGGAAAACGGTTATGGTAAAATTGTGGGTAGGAAAAAAGATTTGATAATTCGTGGGGGTGAAAATATATATCCGGCCGATATTGAAGAATTTTTAAGCACTCATCCGGATATATTAGAAGCACAGGTATTATTGACGTGGAATTAGTGATCAAATTTAAATAATATTCGCTTACTTACATGTCGATTAGATGATAAAATAATATGTTATCAAACAGGTCGTCGGTCTTCCCGATCCAAGGCTAGGAGAACAAGTTTGTGCTTGTATAAGACTTAAACCGAATTCATTTTTGACAGAGGAAGAAGTTAAAGAATTTTGTAAGGGAAAGGTAAACAACAACAACAACAACCACAACAACATAATAATAATAATAATTTAAATTTTTTTTTTTTGAAAAAAAAAACGTAATAATTACAGATAGCCGATTTTAAAATTCCTTATTACGTTTGGTTCGTCGATAAATTTCCAATAACACCTTCAGCAAAAGTTCAAAAGTACAAATTACAACAGGATGCTATAAAACATTTTAAATTGGAATCTAATTAATTAGCAAGAATATGAAAAACAAACAAACAAACAAACAAACGAACGGAAAAAAAATTCAAAATTGTAAGATTGTTTTGGAAAAATTTACAAATGCGTACAAACGCCGCACACGCACACACCATTGATATGGCTACGAAAAATTTTTTCTCACGATTTTTTTTTTTTTTTTTTTTTACAAAATTTATTTAAAAAAACAAACAAACAAACAAACAAACAAAAACAAACGAAATAAAATAATAATAAATTTAGCATACAACCGTAGAAAATTAAGCAGATGTTACATAAGAAAAAGAAGAAGAAGGAAAAAAAAAAAAAAAAAAAGAGAAACAAAAGTTTGTCCTTGGTGGTTGGTGGTTGTTCAGTATCCAAAACAACAAAAATACATATATATTTATGTACATACATACATATTTTTTTTTAACGTGTAAGAAGAAAAATTAAATAAGTAGAAAGTGATTTGAAAGTATTTTTATTTATTTATTTATTTATTTATTGTTTTCATTTATTTAAACGTATACGGTAGTCAAAAAAAATGTCAAATCCATTCATGATTGACAACTCGTGTGTTGACAACGAATGCTTCTTTAAAATGGATTTTTTTTTATTTTTTATTGTATTGTCAAACCTTTTTTTCAGTTGTTGTGACAAAAACAGGTTCAATATTATGGTCTGCTCCTTCGGCCGTTACAAATTTTTTTTTTATTTTTTTCTTTTAACAAAGTTTTTTTTTTTTTGGGGGGGAGATTGTATACAAAAAAAAAGCGATGACAGGTTTCGCTGTTTTCTTTTGACTTGTTTCATTGTTTCTTTTTTAGTTTAATACGCCGAAAACAAAACATAAATAAATAAATAAATACAAACAGGTCAAAAAGTAGATAAATAAAAAAAATTTTTTTTTTGTTTTGTTTTGTTAATTTGATTCGGTAGCCGTTTCCAAACCAAAAATTTTCTTTTTCTTTCTATTTTGTTCTCACCATTTCAGGTATTGTTTGAACCGTTGATTAAAAAAAAACCGTTGATAACGTTTTTTTCCGTTTTAAAAACATTCCATTTTCGATTATTAATTTTTAATCTGAAGTAATTTTTAATAATCGTACATATTATCATTGTTAAAGATTAATAACTTAATAAATAATTATTAATTAATAAAAAGAAAAAACTTTGAACTTTTTTCTTTGTGTCAAAAACCTGTGATGAAAACAGGTGATTAAAATTAATTAATTTTGTTCATCAGTTTTAGGTGTTAATTTTTAAGCCTTTTTTTTATTTCTAGAATATTCTTTTATAAATAAATATAAAAATAAAAAAAATTAACGAATAAATTATAAAATGAAAAAAGAAAACATTAGAAAAGAAAAAAAGAAATTGTAAATTTATTTGTATACATTTCAATTTTATTACACAATATACTGAATAACATAATAATTTTTATAACTATTATCATTATCATTACTATACATTATTATTATTATTGTAATTCATTGTCAGGAATCGTTTATATTCGATAATAATCGTTTTTCCTGTCAATCGACATAAATAAAAACGTTTTTTCTTCTCCTTTTCTCTTTCTCTTTTTTTTTTTTTCTTTTTTTTTTTTTGTGAATAGAATTTTAAAAGCTACCGTTTTAAAATTGTCATACGTTCAACCTTTTTTTTTCCTTTTTTTTCTCCTTTTTTCTCTTTCCTTTTCTTTATATTTTATTATTATTTACGATCTTTTACTTTATTACCTATTAAAATCCATCGTCGTCGGCTTCCATATTTTTTCTTTTTTTTTCCATAAAAAAAAAAAAAAATTTTCCTTTTTTTCTTTTTTTTTTAAGAAAGGTTGTGTTGTAAATAAAATAAAATAATCTGTCTATGATTTTAACACGGTCTACTTTTCTTTCCTTTCATTATTATTATTATTACTATTTTTTGTTGAAAACTTTGTACATAATAATAATAATAATAATAATAATAATAAGTTACTTATTATTGATAACAATTTTCTTTTATTTAATTGAATTTTTCTCGTTGTATCAAATAACGAAAAAAAAAAAAAGAAATTCTTGCATTTTTTTCGCGCGAATATAAAATAATAATATTAATAATAATAAGAGTGATAATGATGATGATAATAATAATAATACGAGTCGTTGCTTGTTTAAATTTTGATTTGTTAAAGTTAAAAATTGAATTTTCACGTTAGTTATTTGCTATAATTCTTCTATAACTGTTGTTATTATTTAATTATTTATTTATTTTTTATATATAAGTGATTTTATTAATTATTTCTTTCAGTGTATTTTTGTTTAAAAAAAAAAGCAAGAAGAAGAAGAAGAAGAGGGTAAATAAAATAAAAATGAATGATTTTCTTCTCGCACAAACTCCAGTAGAAAAAGAAAATATAACGCCGGAAAATGATGGTTCGATCACGCCGACGACGAAATCAAAAAGGAAAAAAAAAATGGTTAAATCGATATTTAACACCCCTCCAAAACCACCACCACCATCGTCAAATGATAATTCTTCGATGAGAAAATCAAAGAAAATTTTAAAGGAAAAAACTAACGATGATGAAACGGAAAAGGAAACGTTGAAGAAAAAAAAAAGAGGAAGAAAATCACGTTCGATTTCTCCAAATGAGAAAATTTCAAGTTGTAAATTTCAAATACACGAAGATGATAATGAAAAAATGGAAAAAAATTTAAAAATGTCGAAGGAAAATAAAAAACAAGAAACTGTTAAAAAAACTCGAAAGAGTACGGAAAAATCTCGTCGTTCGGATATACCAAAAATTATCGAAACGAATGTCGAAGATACATTAAATAATAATAATAATGTTTTGGATGAATCGTCAACGATGGAAAATGAGGAGAAGAAGAAGAAGAAGACACCGAGTCCAGGATCATCAATGGAAAAAAAATTTAAATTGGAAAAAGATATGGTATTACTCGAAAGCATATTTCCAAATATCGATCGAGATTTTTTAAAAGCTCAATATATTAAAATGAAACGTTCGGTCGAGAGTACCGTCAATTTAATATCGAACAATAGGAAAACGTTCGACGAAAGTCCAGAATTTAATATACCGAACGATTGCGAACGAGTTCAGGGATTGATTAGAAAATACACGACGAATTTCGATTCCCGTGAATTTATTAAAATGATACCGGATCCCTGGAATTATTTTTTAAATACCGAATCTCACAACTCCATAAGGTACGCGGATCAAAGTTTAAATTATTTAAAATTTAAATTTCCCAAACATTACGTTCAAACGATACAACAAGTTTTAAACAAATCCGAATATAGTCTATATAGAGCTTATAAAGAATTATCGGATAAAAGAAAACATAAAATGTATAAAATGAGAACGAGCGGAAGAAGTAAAAATGATTTTAGTATCAATAATAATAATAATAATATTAATATGATGGAAGAATTGGCGAATTTCGATTATCAATATTTACTGGAGGTAAATCGAAAAGTTTTTCCGACGTTTTTTTGTTTTTCCCCCCTCCCCCTCTTTAAAAAATTTACAAATTTTAGGTTGCTTTCATAGAACACGAAGAAGAAATAAAAGAAATGATAAAAAAATTAGATTTGGATAGATTTAAAGAAATTAAATTGAAAATGAATGTTGGGGGAACGTTAAAAAAATGTCAATATTGTCCGAATAAAAATTTATTATGGGAAAATTTAACTTGTTGTTACGGAAATCACGTCATTTGTCAACAATGTCTGAACAAGTTCGTAAAATTTTCTTTTTTATTACAAAATTGTAATTATTTAATTATACTAATTGTTTTGCTTTTTTCGGGGGGCTCAACAGTCAAGTACGTACGGAAATTGCAAATAAAAATTTCGAATTAAAATGTCCACTCTATTGCGACGAATATTTACAAATAGATAATTTAAAGGTACGTTTATAATGACGTCATACGCGGAGAAAACTCGTAAATTGTCGTTTCCGTTTTCTTTTTTTTTTTTTTAATACGTAATACGAAATTTGAACGAATTTATTTTTATTTTAGAATTTATTAGATCCGAATTTAATGGCGATAATAATAAGAAGAAAACAATATGAAGAATTGTCGTCTGCTGGTATCAAAAACCTTTTGTACTGTCCGAGTTGTTATCATTTGAAAATATCAAAACCTCAAAAGGATCAAAAAATTTTTTACTGTGTCAATCCGGCTTGCATGAAAGAATCTTGCCTGTGAGATTATTTATTAAAAAAAAAAAAATTACGGTGGGATGTTACGTCATTAATTTTTTTTTTTTTTTTTTTAATAGAAATTGTCATAGAGATAATCACGAACCGTTACCTTGTCATGACGTCATTGATAGTAACGATACAGACGAATCAACTCCGGATTTTGCATTGTCGTAAGTTAATTATTATTATTTTTTTTCATTTGTTTAAATAAAATCCTTTCTTTTTTTTTAATTATAAACATTTTATTTACGGTTTGTTGTTGTTGTTGTTGTTTGTTTTTTATTGTCGTTTGTTTTCAGAGTTTGTTTTAATTGCAAAAAAGATTTTATAAAAGTCGAAGATTCGATAAAAATGATATGCTCTTGCGGAAATGAAATATGCTACTATTGTCGTCTCCCTTATTTACACTGTCCTCATTTTAACGATAATAATAATGATAATGATAATAATAATAATGATGATGATAATACTATAACCGTTTCGGATACCGAATGCGTTTTGTACAAATCAATAATCAAAGAGGAACCGATCGATTTCGATTCATCGCAATTTATGAGCATACGATCATCGGATTCGATTAATAAATATTCTTCGTCGGATTCAGCCGAATACTGAACAAATTATTACCCTCCCACACCCCACCCCCAGCTCCCTCTTCGTGTTTTCATTCGTAATTGATAATCCCATGCTTCGATTTTACCTTAATAATGTAAAATTTTTAAAATATAATTTTCTTTTTTTTGTTTATTTAATAGAAAAAAAATTATTTTTAACGCCTTATTAAATCCATAAAAATGACGGATAAATAGTAATAATAATAATTATTATTATTAAGGGTAATAAAATTTAATGAAAATGTATTAAAAATAATTTTGTCTGATTCCACGTCAAAACCGTTTTAAATATTTTTACGGGTTGAGAAAAAAAAAAGATGAAATTCGCACGATTAAATCTATTTTTCGCCTTTTCTCCCCTCGCCCCCCACAAAAATACATACATATATGTGTGTGCGAATACACAAATAAACAAAAATAAAAAATTATTAAAAAATTTATTGTTTAAATAGTATTTTCTCGAATTCCGCCGAGAATTAGAATTAGAAAAAAAAAAAACGAAGAATAATAAAATTTGTGAGTGATAAGTTTAAAAACTTGTTATAAAATAATAATGAAATTGAAATATAAAATCCAGTAAAAAAAAAAAAAAAAAAATTATCCAGGTTTTCTTTAGGGAGTAAAATAGAGAGAGAGAGAGAGAGAGAGAGAGGGGGGGGGGGAAAAGGGAAAGCTTTTCAGAGTTTTGTTCTTCTCAATTATTAAAGATAATAGTAGTTGATGATTCCCAAGAGAAATGAAAAGCGCGAGATTATTACATTAATTCAAAACTTTATCTTTTTCTAACGCCTAAAAAAAAAAAAAATTTTCTTTCTTTTATTTACGTATTTAAAAAAAACTTTTTTTCCCTCCCCCTTTTTATTCCTTTTTGTTTTTTCCGGGAATATTTACACCAATCATCACGACTTATTATTTATTTTTTTTTTCGGGGTGTCCCACGAAAATTTTCAAGTTAATTTTCACAAGAGTGGGGGGAAACACAACAACAAATCATATTTATTATTATATTTTTTATATTCATTATTATAATTTATCCTCCGCCATTTTGTTTTTTTTTCCACCCTTCATCTTTCTTAATATTAAGGTAATGATTAATATCATCATCCCCCTCCCTCCAAATTATGTTATTATTATTATTATAATTACGTGAAAGAAAAATTTCCCGAAAAAAAAAAGGAAAATTAATTTTTTTTTTCGGATTTCTTCGCCAAAATAAAAAGTTTTTTCAAATTGAATTTGTTTAATAAATTAATAAATTGGTTAAATAAATAAATAAATAAATTTATTATATGAAAGTTCGGCGGGGGAGGGAGGGGAGAAGGAGGAGCAGGGAAAGAAAGCGTTATCAACATTATTGATATATTAATAGTTTGATTAATGAATTTCTTAAACCGATTTACAAATATTAATGGAGTTTAGAGAGATATCCCAAGAGAGAAAGAGAGAGAAATAAGAAAATAAACCCGTTGAGAAATTGTATAAAATAAAGAGAGAGAGAGAGAGAGAGAGAAAGAGGTTATGGTGTGGTATATTGGAGAGAAAAGATAGAAATGTGTTGTTAAGACGAAAGTGAGCATCTGCTACCTCTCATCAATTATTGATAATTTATTTCACTTCTAAATAGCTGGCATTAGAGTTTATGTAGTTAAAAAACTTTTTTTTCTTTCTTTATCCTATTTATTCTCGTTTAATAAACCCCCACAAAATTTCCTTTTCCCCTACCCCCTCACCCATCCCTTACCATCCCACCCCCCGGCGTATTTATCTTTTGTTTAAATTTACTCATGACTTGAGTTTTTTTTTTTAATTGGAATTTCACTCTCTCTTTCTCTCTCTTTCTTTCTTTCTCTCTCTCCCCCTCTCTCTCTCTCTCTTTCTCCCTCTCTCTCTCGTATTTTTTTAAACAAAAATTATAAACAAATAATTAAACTTTTTTTACGTTACGTAATTTGTAAAAAATAAATGTCGAAAAAAAAATTGTTTTTTTTTTTTTTTTTTTAGAATTTGAAAATAATGCGACAAAAATCCCTGACGACGACGACAACGACAACGACGAAAATTGATATAAAAAAAAAGGAAAAAAAAAAGGAAAATTAAAAAATAAATATTGCAAGAGAGAAAAAAAAAAGAGGAAAATCACTTGATTCTCTTTTCCAATTGAAATCTGTATTTTTTAAAAGGAGAATCTCGGGTTCTTCTCATCCCAAAGGATTTATCTTAATATCGATTCTTTCTTCCATCTTCTTTCCCCTCATTTTCTTTTTACCGAAATCTTGTTTTCCTATTGGTTCGTTTTTATTTTCTCTTTTTTTTCTTTCTTTCTTTCTTTCTTTCTTTTATTCCTTACTTACGTGAAGTTCGTTTCTACGGCAAAAAATAATTTTTTTCTTTTTTCTCCCAACGATATAAAAAAATAAACTTTATCGAATATTTATTATTATTATTATTATTATTATATTTAAATCGCTGGAAAAAATAATAAATAATAATAATAATAAATAAATATTTTTTGATTAGAATTTAAAAAAGTTTTTTGTATCCTTTATAGAAAAAAAAAATCATTTGAAAATTTATTCCTTATAAATTATTATTATTATTATTAACAATGTTTTCTTTTTTTTTAGGATTCGACGGGGAAAATAATTTCTAAAATAATAAAAAACATTTTCCACGTGGAAAGGAAAGAAAAAAGAAGAAAAAATGGCCGCGATAAACACCAGTTTCTATTCGGGCAAAAGGTTGATGTAATAACATGGCGATGAAGAGATGAAATCTGGATGGGCAAAAAGATAATTCGCTTCTGGGTAGGAGATGCCATGGCAAAAGATATCTCCGAATGAAAATCTCATCAAACAGGACCGAAACTAAACTAAAAAAAAAAACTTTTGAAAATTTTTACTTTTCTCGAAAGGTTACCGAACCTTAAGTTCATTGCCTTTTACTCTCTCTCTCTCTCTCTCTCTCTCTCCTTGAAATTGATTTATCTTAACAATTTAAAAATTTACAACAACAACAACCATTTAAATGACACCCTAAAATGTTTTTTTTTTTCTAATGTTTCCATCATAAAAAAAACATATTGTAAAAAAAGGATAATTTTTATTTTTTTTGCAATAATAATTTGTCTGATTCCGACAAAAAAAAACCTCATTTTAACCTTCATTGACCTTTTCGGTACCTACCCCCGTCATTTAGTACCCTAATACATTTTTTTTTCCTTTTCCACCCCAATAAAAATAAGAAAACTTATTTAATCTTGTATTTGTGTAATTATAAATCAAATATCTTTTTTTTTTTTAGTGATGAAACACGACGTAATGTAACCTTAACCCGACCCTGATGTTTTTAGAATTGTCCGCATAATATGATGAAAAAAAAGGAAAGGAAGGAAAGAAGGAAGGAAGGAAGAAAGGAAATGTGAAGGTGGTAGGTTTCGAGATGTAAGGGACGTTAAAAGATGGTAAATAGAATAAGGTGGATAAAAACGAATAAAAAGGGGTTGATGATGGTGGTGGGGTGGTGGTGGTGGTAAAGGGTAAGGTGGTTGAAAGCTCGAATGAAGCAATATTATCCTGGGTTTTATCACTCCTTCCTGCTCAATTACTCCTTCGAGAATAACAGAAAAGTGGTATCTTTATTTTTTTGGACCGAAAGGGAAAATACAATATCTCGGTTTTAAATACAAAAAAAAAAAAAAAATTTCCATTTTCCTTTTTCCTTTTGTGAAAATCCGACATTTTTTTTTTTTGGTTTTCCCACCACCATTTAATTCATATTTCAAAAACTCTTTTTTATTTAAATATAACAAAAACTTTTTTTTTTATTATTATCATTATCATTATAAATTATTAACTTTTATTAAATTTTTTTTATAAAATATAAATAATAATAATAATAATAAAAATAATAATAATAACGATGATTTAAAAAAATCATCCCTTAGCGGTTTTATGCTTTTTCCCTTTGATTTTTATATTATAAAAGATGAGAAAAACAAAGTAAGGCGCCAGGAAGTCATGACAAAATTTTTTAGCAGACGACGTTTTTAAATTGAAATCATTTCCGATTTCCGGTTCAACGGTTTAGCAATTTTTCTTACTCTCAAGTATAATTTCATCGTTTTTAATTATTAATTTACCCGTTAAAATAAATTATCGGCAGATGCCGACATTTTTTTTTTTAAAAGCTTTTTTTTTTTTTTGTTACGAAACCCGACTCCGACGATAAATAATATAAATTGAGCTTTTTAACTCATCACCATTATTATTATTATTATGTAAAAAATCATTATTTGATTTTAATACAAAAAAAAAAAACGGTTATCAATAATTTTTAACGTATAAAAAAAATTATCGTTGATTTTATTACCCCCTAAATTTTATCAGGAGTAATTTAAATTTTCTCTTCCATATTTGTTATCATTTTTTGTTTTTGTTTTAAATCGAAAAAATTAAATAAAACAAAAATTAATTTGTCTAATGCCTTGAAAGTAAGAACCGGAAGTTAAGGAAAACCCATACGTGTTGTTATTATTATTATTTATAAAGGGGTTTTAAATTTTTTTAAAAAAATCAGTTCAAATTTATTTTTATGAAGTATAAGGATGTGCGCGTGTTCGTGTGTGTCAAATAAAAAAAGAAAAATCTAAAGTAATTTCTTCTGGCAAATTGGATAATTTAATGTTTGGAAACAAATTATTTTCCACCACAATATAAAAAAAAAAAGAAGGGGGATCAACTGTCAATGTTAAAAAGAAAAAAGGAAAATGGCCACGCCTTGCCTTGTCTCTTATCATCAATCTCTCGACAAACAAAACCGTTTATAATCAATACTTTTTTTTTTTTAAATGTATTATTATTGTTTTAATTAATTGTTTAGACGATTATGTATTTATTAAAATAATTTTTCGTTTAATTAAATTAACCGTTTACACCGTGCAACGGCCCCCAAAATGTTTACCTTTTGAAATATTTAAATATTTTTGTTTTTTTTTTGTTTGTTATCATTAATTTATTTTTTGAATTAAATGAATTTTTATTTTGTTTATCAATATTTTAAATCGTTCGAATAACACACACACCTGATAATTATTAGAGCGAATAATTTGTTGTTGTTTTTTGTTAAATGTTACGGGAGAGCCCATTTGTTTTATCATTTGTGTAATGTAAACATTATCACGTGGTTATTTGACAAATTATTTTAATAATTTCATTAACAATTTTAAATATTTGATTAAAATTAGGTTTCAGTAGGAGGTTACGAATTGAAGGTAATTTTATTGAGAACAAAAAGTGTTCCTTTTTTTTTTGTTGGACAATTCAAATTCAAATAATTTTTATTATAATTAAGTGATTATTATAAATATATATATTTTCCAAGAGTTGTTTATAGGACATGACACGTTCTGTGGAAAAATGTTATAAAATTCGTTCGAAAGTAAACAAGTGATGATAAATAAAAATTTCAACCAATCAGGTGCGAAAGATTCAAATGACTTAAGGAAAAAATTTTAGTTTTTATATAAAATGTTTTTATTTATCATTATAACGCGGCAAACGATTCCGCTAACTTAGATTTCAAACGGTGTAAACTTTAAAACACCTGTTAGATGAACTTGACGTAAGTTGAAAATAAATTATAAAATGGTTTTATTAAAATTTTTCAATTCAACCCTTCGTTTAGGGTTGAATATAAAAATGGCAAAAGGATTTATTCGTTGGGTTATATATTAAATTTATTTTTAAATGCCTTAACGACATTTATTTACATCATTAAATTATATTTAAAACGATAAATAATAATAATAATACCACCTTAAATTTTTATTTATTTAACATGGGAAAAATATGTCGTTTAACGCGGTTAAATGACAAAAATTGTATATTTTAAATAAAATGTGAGTTATGCCCTTTTAATATTGAAAATAATCATTTAATTTCATTTAAGTCGTCGTATTCAGTTCGTTCGAGAAAATTTTCTCTCTCGTCGCTTTTTTTTTTTTTTTAATTTTACTCTTAAGAAAAACGTTTCACGCGTAAGATAATAATGAGTGAGTAGAGTTTTTTTATAAGGAAAAAAAGTGTCAGTCGGGTCAGTCCGTTTTAATTCCGCAAAATTTAACCTCTGGTGTGTGTGTGTGTAAGCTATACGTGAGCCCCTCACATAAGAACTTTAAGTCCACCCGGGGGTTGACATTTAGATATTAATTAAATTATTTTTCTTTTTTTTTTTTGGAATTAAATTAGTTAGTAATTTCTGAGCTCATTTTGAATCGTACAAACCAAAGAGTAAAATCGATGGTATTTCAGTGTTGTCACTTCAGTTAAAAAAAATAACTCGAACGATCGCGACATTAAAATAAAATATTTAAATAAAAATAATAACAAACAATTTTAATAAAAATAAAAAAAAATCGAATACGGTATACGGGAACGATAGGAAAAAATTGATTTTAGTTTTTTTTCCGGTTTTTTTTTTTTATTGGAAGACATTAAGTAAAAAAAAAGAAAATGGCTCTGGAAGGTTATGGTAAAACAGAAGATGGAATTTCTCGTGTTCAATATTCATCAAATATACAATTTCCTAATTTTCGAGATTTTTCGAATAACGCGACGAGTAATAACGCGGGTACCGTCGTAGTTGATGTTTTACCACAAATTTACACACAAACGGATTTGATTGGATCTCGTGGTAGGAATAAAATATTAGATGGTAGTCCCGACGGTAGATCATCATCCGAAAGAAATTCTTCTCCAATTATGAAAGAAAGAACTAAAAAAATGGATAATAATAATATTAAAGGTAAGTTTTTTAATACATTTTTCTTCCTTGTTTGTTTTTTCCCCTTACTTCCATAACTAACATAAATACAATCGATTTTTTATTATCATTATTAATTATAATTAAATTTAACATGTTCATTATCTCTTATCACAAATGATGATAATAAGCTTTTGTTTTTCTTGTTTTTTTTTTTTAATATACCAACATTTAAAAAAAAATTTATTACTTTTTATTATTTATAAATATAATTGAAAAAAATTCACGACACAAAATTTATAATTTAAAAAAAAAAAAAAAAAACGTGTAACGTACATAAATGTATATACCCCATTATGATAATAATAATAGTAAAGGGAACGAACGGGGACAATAAATTTTTTTTTTTTTTTTTTAAAACGAATAAAAAAAAAGGAAAAATTTTGTTTTATTGCCACCGAACCTGAAACGTTTTTTTTTTTTTCATCGACCCGGATATTTTTTTTTTTTTTTATTTAAAAACGATGAAATGATTTATATGTTTTTCAATGTCCGTCCGTCGGCCGGTCGGTCGCTTAACTATTACAATTATTATTATTATTATTATTTGTAAAATAAAACCTTAAAAGGTATAGTAAAACTGTCTTGGTAAAAAAAAAAAAATCTTTTAATAAGAAAAATACAAAAAATTTCCGAAATGAAAGTTTCACTTTAATAGTTTTTTTGTTATTGAAATTATTGTTAATAATTATTGTATATAAATTTTATTGAACCTTTTTACCCCCCTCCCCCTTGTCGTCCTTCCCTTTTTTTCATAGTTTTTATAATAATAAGTTTCAAAATAATAATAATAATAATAATAATAATAATAATAACGATTTTTTTAGTGTGTTTTGCCGGCCTTTTTTCTTTCTCTTTAAATTTTTTTTTTTCTTTTTTCTAACAAAAACTTTATTGGATTTATTATCATTATTATTATTATTATCATCATTATTAAATTTATATGTATGATTGTTGTTTAAATATTTTTCTTTTAAAAAAAAAAAGTACCCGATGATGATGATGATGAGTACTTTTTTCGTCATTCGAAATTCACCTTTTACGACTTTTTTTTTTTCTCGAATCTGTGTTGTTGTACCGTAAGCTAATAAAATAATAATAATAATCATAATTATTATTATTATTAATTGATTTAATATTTCTTAGTAATTAAGATTTTTTTTTATACCTCAAGTAAACAAACAAACAAACGAACAAACAAAACACAAAAACCCGCTCTTGATAAAAAAAAAGAAAAAAGTATAATGATTTTCAAAATTATTTATTTATTTATTATTAATTATCGCGAATTTATTATTTTTTTGTCGTTAATAATAATTATTAGTCGACCTGAAAAAAAAAAAAAAAATAAATATTTGATGTATTTATTAATTTAAAATTAATAAAATTCGGAAAAAGAGTAAAAATGGACGCGCGCTCGTGTGGGGGGTAAAAATTTGGAAAAAGTTTTTTGTTGTTGTTATTGTTATTGTTGTGGGAAATAAATAAATAAAAGTCAATTTATAGCAGAAGATTTTTTTTTTTGTGTGTGTTGAAAAGATTATTATTTAGTCAATTTTGATTTGATTTTACGGATTAAAATAAAAGCAAGCATGTAATTGGACGTGTGTTAATAATATCCGTGACGTATAATAAAAAGGTTCGTACGTACGCGGATAAAATACATTAATAGAGGGTCATATAACTACAATGTGACAGAGAGACTATTTTTGTTTTCACCCCATCACTTACATCCCTTAACTTGTTACCACATTTGATTTTTCGCGTGGGGGTACGGGGGTGGCGAGCGGGGATGATGACAAAAAAGTTTTGTTTATTAGTAACTTTGAATTTAAATGGTATTAATTTGACCATTGGTCGGTTAGTCGATCGGTTGACCACCCACAATTAAATAAATTGTAAAACCAGCTGGCAAAATGTGAATGAAGAATATAAATAAATAAATAAATAAAAACGATTTGAAAATTTATTAAATGGAAAAGTGACAAAAAAAAAAGAAAAAAAAATTTAAGCAGCTTGCAACGTAGTCGTATGACAAATACTAATAGTAGTAGGTGTAGTAGTAGTAGAATCGATCTGAAGACAACAAAAAAAAAAAAAAAACTACCCGAACGGGGGCGGGGAGGGGAAAACACTTGAAACGTAATCGGAAATGTTTTCGTACCGAATTTTTGGGGTTGAAATTAAATGTCGCCGTTGTAATTAAAAGATGACGCGACATTTTACATATACGAGTCGTCGAGACTTTAACCACTTAAAAAATCGTTTTTATTAAAAAAGGTTTTTTTTTTTTGTGAAAGGGGAAACGGAAATAAACGACAAGAACAACGGGAATGGCAAAATTGGGAATGTGCAATTTCGATTAATTCATTTTTTTTTCCATTTTTTCAGAAACGAATTTAGTTACGGAACAAAATATTCGTAGATATAGAACGGCGTTCAGTAGAGAACAGTTGGCAAGACTGGAAAAAGAATTTTATAAGGAAAATTACGTATCGAGACCGAGAAGATGCGAACTTGCCTCACAATTAAATCTACCCGAATCAACAATTAAGGTATTATTATCATTATTATTATTATTTAAATTGTTATTGTCGTTATTTATTGGTTGAGTTCATAGTTTTTTTTTATTTAACTTAAATGAATGAAATTAAAATTAATTATTTAGTCGTAAGGGGTTTAGTCATAAAATATGCAAAAGAAATTTTTTTTTTTTTTTTTTAAACAAATAATTAACAATTAATAGTTTTTATGTTTAAATAAATAATGGCGAATGGGTTGAACATTAAAAATTTTTTAATAGTTATTATTATTAATAATGGGGAGGGAGTTTTAAAGATTTTTTTTTTTCCAAAGGTTCAGGACTCGGAAAGTAAACGCGGGATTTTAAACATTTATATCATTATCATTATTATTATTATTATTTGTATATTCGGTAGCCCGCATAAAGGTGCGCCGACGTTTATTACGTGATAATTGTACAACCTGCCTTACCTGTTCATAACTGCTTTTTTTTCCTTCCTTTTTCTTTGATGCGCGGAACCTGGTTTTATTTAACGTTTTTTTTTTTTTTAAACAATTAACACGACTAATTAATATTATGGCTTTAATAATAATAATAATAATAATTTTTTTAACTTTTCACAAGGTAGCTTAATAAATTTTTCCCATCGTTTTTTTTTTTTTTCTAAATGAACCTTTCGAAAGAAAGAAAATTTTACGACATTTCATAAAAAAAAAAAAAAAATTATCATCATTATCATTATTATTACTGTTATTTGAATGAAAATTAATGAATAAAAAAAATTTCTTTAATTAATTAATTAATCAATAGGATAATAAATAATTAATTTTAATAAATAAATAAATAAGTTGTTATTAATGGTAAAATTTTTTAAAATTATTTTATTAATGTCAAAGCGGATCGTGATTTTTTATTAACGGGGAAGGGGGGGAAATTAATTATTATTAAATTTTAAACGAGTAGGGAAAAAAAATGTTACTGGATACGTCACTGATGAGAGAAATTCAACGATTATTCTCAATTATCACTTTTAATGATTACAGTATCCATTAAAATAAATTCTATTGACGTCCTATTCATCGCTACCGGCCTTTTTTTTTTTTTTGTTTGTAGGTTCAGGTACTAAAATATTTTTTGTTTTATTTTGATTGTTAAAAAAAAAAAAAAAAAAACATACGATCGATCATCATTTCTTTTGCCATCATAATTTTTTTTCTTCTGATTCCTCGACAGTGAAAAGTGTTTGACCTTTTTGAACTTTATAATTATAAAGTCAGTAATAATTTTAATAAAGAAAAAATTTCATTCATTTTTAAGGTTTAAATTTTTTTTTGTATTTTTAGGTATGGTTTCAAAATCGAAGAATGAAAGATAAACGACAGAGAATGGCAGTTACTTGGCCCTATGCCGTTTATACTGATCCAGTTTTTGCTGCGAGTATTCTTCAAGCGGCTGCTAATGCCGGAGGTTTGCCAGGTATAGCATCAGCATTAGCAGCTGCTTATTCTCATCCGTATGGATATTATGGAAATCCCGTATCTCAAAGGTAATTGTTTTCTCCACCCACCCCCACTCCCGACCTTCTTAAAACCTTCCGAAATAAATAATTTTTTCTTTTTTTTCTTTTTAAAGAATGTCACCGTATCCATCATCAGTGCTCCCGCAACCATCATTACACGGTCATCATTTCACAAATTCCGTTTTGGGAACTCATTTAAATAATTCAACATCATCATCATCATCAACATCATCGGGAATTTTAAATGGAAGATCATCAACGTCGACAACTCCTCCAGGAAGTACACCAATGACGAGACCATTTCCGATATTTGTTCCTGGTTCTAATCACGCGTCCACAGATATTTCTCCACATTCTCCGCCGACATCTTCCGGTGGAAATTACATGAGTTTAACATCAAATCAAAGTCCGAGGGGTAAAAGATCGAGTACTCCGAATTCGGAAAACAGTGTCGGAAGCGATAGTGAAACACCAGGAAGTTGCAGATGTGGAATTATTAATTGTGTTGCCGGAAACGAACACAGAGGATCATCCTTATACGTTAACGATCCTCCTTCTCCTGTTGGAAAAGTCGAAGGTTTAACCGGAGTTTACACACCCACGGCTACATCGGCAGCGCCGTCGGGAACACCATCTATTATATTACCTATAAATAACACTAGTAACAATTCTAACAATAATAATAATAATAATAACACGGCTACGGCTATAAATAATAATAATAATAATTTTAACAAAAGTAAAGATGTTACTGTTATTAATAATTCTTCAACCCCTAAATTATTTAAACCCTATAAATCGGACGTATCGGAAGCCGTTTAAATTTATTTATTTATTTATTTATTAATAATTTATTGTTGTAAACAATAACAAAAAAAAGACTTTTTTAGTATTATTTAATAATGCATAAACAAAAAAAATAATAATAATAATTTGAATGTATAAAAAAAACCCTGTACTTAACTTATTTGTATTTTTCTTCTATATCGAATAATGTTTTCCCAATGTGATGTTGAAATCATTTTTCTTTTTTTTTTTTTTTTGTAAATAAATAATTTTAATTTAAATATATGTAAAATATATTATTATTATTATTATTAACTAATTAATTTATAATCACGTCAATATATTTATTTCGGTTTTCAACAACAAAAAAAGGAAAAAGGAAAAGAATAAATTGTTCATTTTTTTTTTTTTTTTTTTTTTGAAAAATTAGCAATGTTATGACAAGGCAAGGATTTAACAACTAACCCCCTAGAGAATTACCCCTAATATTAACTACCCCTTCTTATATATATATGCGTGCGTGTGTGTGTGTGTGTGAGTTTAAATTATTCCTTCCGATTAAATATTTAACACTAGTTAACCCCCTTGTATTTCTTCCTTACACTTTGTTGTTGTTGTTGTTATTCAATTTAATACCGAAAATTTTTCCAGGGATGATGTTATACCACCCGCGCACGTGTTGATTCGTAAACAAAGAATGTTTTGTTGTTGTTGTTTTTTTTTAAATTTCCGCATTTTTTTTTTTTTTAAATTATTTTCGTACTTATTTTCCTTAATAAACAAATTATTTAATATATTTTTTATTTAAAATTACTTTCGATCGAGAGAGAGAGAGAGGGGGGGGGGAAAAGAAGAGCGTTTATTGAGTGTAGAATGAAAATCACAATTTTCGACAAAAGATAAATTATACACTTGGGATTTTTTTCCTAATACTTTTATGACATTTTTCAATAGTTAACAACAACAACAACAACAACTTATATTTTTAATCCGTTCAATACAACACGAGAATAATTTTTTTTTTCTTCTGCTAAATCCAATTGAAAAAATTCATTTTTTTTTTCTTATTTGTAATCCCAAAAGTATTTATTCCCACTTTTTCTATACACATATGTATAACTGAAAGTTTATTATTAACTCTTTCTCCATTAATTTTTTATCACTTATCAAAAAATAATTTTCGATAAATTGATTATTTACTATAAATGAATTATGTTTGTTGCCAAATGGTGTTATTATGTTTAAATTAAATTATTAAGTTATGTAAAATAATTATAATTATTGATTTTATATTTAGCTTTTGACAAATTTAAAAAAATTATGTTTGTTTATAATAGAAATGAAGATTTTTTTTTGTTCACATCACAATTAAAAAATAAAATAATTTAAATTTTTTATGTACGTACTCGTATTATGTGTTAATAAAAGTTTCAGTTGTAAAAAAAAATAAAAAATAAAAATAAAAAGGAAAACAACAATTAAGATTAAATTTTGAGATTATGTTGGGAAAAACATTATTTTTAATAAAAAGCAGAAAAAAGAAATATTTTTTATTTTAAGGGTAATTTGATGATGAAAAATCGTAAATGGTTATCTCTCTCTCTATATATGGGGAAAAACAAGGGAAAAAAATTTTCCTTAATACGAATAAAAACGAATTTTATTAACTTATTTATAAGATAAGAAAACTTCAATGAATACAAAACAGATTTTAATTCTTTAATTTTATTTATTTTTTTGTCTTACCGTTTGATAATAATAAAAATAATTTTTTTATTTATTTAAATAATATATATTTATCATTATTACAAGAAATTTTTATGATAATAATAATAATAATGTT